CCCCCCACGACCTCTTAGCAAGTTTCCAGGGGAATGGGCAGCTTTTGAAAGGGCAGAGATATCAGCTTTGGACTACAGGAATGACATACATGGCGCCAAGTCAAATTTTGCACGCTAAAGCATTTGTCTAATATCAAGTAATAGAATCTGTACTGCCTGCTGTCTGTCATCATTGGTCACATACATAGGCCATAGCTACTAGATGGACCACACTTTGGGAGGGCACCTGTATCTTATATGTCAGCCTATTTTGGAAATATTGTCGTCCGTTGCTGGTGTTACTTGCACATGACTCCAGCTTGGCCTTCTCAGACTGATGTTGTGTCTTTCCCAGGTCTAGACTGCGACATAGATGTGCAGAAAACCATTCAGATGGTACGATCCCAGCGCTCAGGAATGGTCCAGACAGAAGCTCAATATAGGTTTATCTATTCCTCCATTGCACATTACATGGACTCAGCAAAGTACAAACTTAAAGCGTTAGAGGTACCGTCATCTTTTGTTACTTGTAGTAAAAGAGATAGCAAATGAAAGTTTTAGTGCTGGTGGGGTCTGCCACCAAGGGTGAACTGCATGTGCCACATCAGAAACCTAGTACCACATCGTCATATTAAAACCTGATGAAGGGGACCCTGCGTGGCCTCGAAACATTGTTATTTGGCAGTCTGCATCACTAAAGAAGATGGATTGTTGACACTAGTCATAGGTGTGCTGTTAACGTACAGTAGAAACGGTCGCACGCCTTCCATACACCTGCCGATTATCGTACAATCGCAGGATTTCCCGCGATTATCGTACGACAATCGCAAGGTGTATGGGCACCTTTAGATTACATGAGAAACCTGGCCCCTTCCTGAGTCTTGCACTAGAAGTATGGCAGGTCCCCAGCACAGATATTCTTCAGTATTCAGAGTCTGTGCCTCCACCAAGTATACTAATCACTCAGTAGTGTCCACATCCCCACACTGTGCTCTCACCATTGTCCAAATTCCCGTACTGGACACTTACCAGTGTTTCCTGACCAGTAAGTACAGTCACATGGGAGGTCACATGCTCCTTTAAACCTGTGCTGGTTATTGTGGAGGAGCAATAGGAAAACATATATCAGTATAAGAGGGTTGAGGGGCCTTTGCAGAGACACTGTAACTGTGCCCTGCATTGGAAAGATGAGCGTCTCTCTAAGGATATCTGTGATGAAAGAAATATGGAGGCCGCCATTGCTATCCTCTCTTTCTCTAAAACTGATGGTTCCCTGGTTGTCATGTTAATCAAATGGCTAATGAAATCACTGACCTGGAACAATTAAAGAGATCAGAAATTCTGACTTTACCCTGGCATTCATTTACTTGTTCCAGGTCCATGTCTCAGAAGTAGTACAGACAGATACAATCAGAAAGCTAGTATTTTCAGAAGACGAAGCTTCCATGTTTTGTTTATCTTTAAAAGGAGAACTGCCCACCCCTGCCCTAGACCAAAATGAGCACTTAACCCTTGCAGTGCTGGGGTAGCCGGAGTTCTTCTTTAAAGGAGAACTATGAGGTGAGTGCTTTTCACTCGCCTCATAGTTCTAGCCGACCTGTGACAATGAGACTGTCACAGGTCGGCTCAGTAGATCGGGAGGTGAGCGAACACATTCCGGCGTTCGCTCACCTCTCGATCCTGTCACGGCTCTCTGCCGTGACAAGGGAGGGGCTGGATTCCCCCCTCCCCGCTCCGATCCTCCAGCGCTGACTGGCGGAACGGACGGGGGAGGGGGCGGGTACAGCTGGCTCTGCCTCTAGATAGGCAGAGCCAGCTGTCACTCACGCAGCTGGGCGGATCCAGACATAATTGTCCGGATCCGCTTCAGCTGCGGCGTCTCAGTATACAGGGAGCTGTAGCTCGCGGTATACTGAGCTTAGGGTGACGGGAGGACGCTAGTTTGTGTCCTCCCCTTACCCTAGGGAGAACTATGGAGAAAAGCCCTAACCCCATAGTTCTCCTTTAATTACAGAATAACCTTGCTTGTCACACTTAACTCTCCTACAATGTAACGTTCTAGTGCTTCCATGTACATAAAATACATAATATGGCCAAAGATTTGTGGACACCTGACCAGCACACCTATAGAAGCTTGGTAGACATCCCATTCCAAAACTAAGGCCATTAATATTAGACATGTAAGATTCGTTTAGTTCCGAAACGAAATTCAGACGAAATTTCGGAAGTTCGTGGATTCGGAGCATCCAAATTTCCCAAATGTACCATGTCCAAATCCATCCAAATCCGAAATTCCGGATCCGAAATTTCGGATTCGGTACGAATTTCGTCCTGACAGAAACTAAATTAGAAATTTACGATAATGACTTCAAAAAGAGGATTTCATAGTGTGAAGATAAAAACAAAACATTACTTCATGTTCCTGTGCGCGCGCCGTCAATGTTTAAACGGATAAAAAACAAAAATGAAGAAAAGGATTTTAATGTCCCTTTAATAGTGAAGACTAGAGCACAGCAACCAGAAATGTCAACTGTGCCAATTCTGCTACGTACGTGCGTACGAACATTCGTCCGTTCACACAAAACTCAAAATTTCTGAAATTTGTCCGAATACCGAATCCGATCCGAAAACACATACAGGACCTGATTTCGGGAATACTAAATAAACTAAATCCGAAACTAAACGAAACAATTTTTTTGCGGCTGCACATGTCTAATTAATATAGAGTTGCCACCTCCCCTTTAAGCTTCCACAACCTCCACTTTTCTAGATAGGCATTCCACAAGATTCTGAAGTGTGTCTTTGTGAGATCAGGTACTTATGTGGCAGAAGAAAACCTGACACACAGTGTTCCAGTTCATCCAAAAGGTGTTCATTGGGGTTGAGTTCTTTGCAGGCCACTTGAGTTCCCCCATACCAAATGCATTAAACAAGATCTTTACGGAGCTTGTTTTGTACACAGGAGAACAGTCATGTCGGAACAGAAAAGGTTCACCCAACTGGTGCCACAGAGATGAAAGCGCCCAACTGTCTCAAATGTAGCAAACACAGTACCCTTCGCAAGAAACACCTGAACTCAATGACTCGGAGGGGTGTCCAGTCCACATACTTTTGCCCACATAGTAGGAGTAATGGTCGGCTGTTCACAAACTTCTAGTTATGGAATATATAACTTGCTTTGAAAAGTTGAGTCGCATGGTTGTTTTTCTTTCCCCATGTAGAGAACAAAGGTTGCAGAGTCAGAATACGGAAACCTTGCGCCTTCCATGTCCAAGCTAAAAGTAACCCGGAGTCCATCAAAGTAAGATTTCCTGTGCACCTAGTCAAGCATTGAGAGTGTTTTCTCTTCACCCAATGTACATGCATTCATATCTGATTATCCTATATATACACATCAGGCCTAAAGATGAGGGAACCCTCTATGAGAATCTGAATGCCAGGAAAGATAAAAAAGAAAAAGTCAACAAGAAAACATCATCATCAGAGCGAGAAAAGCCCCGAAACTCAGTGAAGAAAAAGTAACGCAGAGGTAAGTAGCGGAAGGCTCCTGATGTGAGCTCACCGTCTATATCTTCAGAGTTGAACTCCAGGCAAACAGATGAATACACAGTTGAAATTCATATATTGGAGCTGTTTTAGCTGCTGAAGGGTTTTTGGTCTTATCCATCCAGTCCTGAGATTTATACAACCCTGTCAGCGTGGTGACCCAACTTCTTTGGATCAATTTATCTATAGAGCCTGATCACCCCCCTCCCCCAGCCTGTGACTGGATGGTGAAGGAGCAGCAGAATACTAATGAGGCATCCCTATACTCTTTCCTCCTGGTAGCATGTTCATTGCCAAAAATATGCATTCAGTAGACCTGACTGGCTCAGAGTGCTGCCCCTTCCTCTTCTAGTTCAGGTGGTTTTGATGAACACATAACTGAATTACTTTCGTAAATTTGCCTGGAGGTTAGCTTTAAAGGGCACCTGTACCATGATTCATTAAATGTTACTTTGTGAAACAGTGCAGTTAGGTGCTGTCTTCCAATGGTGAAGGATTTAGCATAATTTTTACTGGGTCATATTTGAGGCCAAGTCCCTTGTTGTCCATGGAAGCTCACACACCCTGCTGTTTAAATTGTGAGGGCAAGGCTTAGCTTCTGATCAACTTTACTCCAATTTGGGACAGATCTCGAGGCCTCATGGGTAACAGAAGATGACTGCAGTTTGGGAGTATTGCTACTATTATGACCTGTTATTCCTCCATTTTGGGTGTAGACTGGTGCAGACTTATGGGTCCTATCAGGTTGGGTTCCTTCCATGATCCAAGTTCTCTTCCCCATCCCAACATGATGGTAACAAGCTAAGGTTTGCATTTCACCTACCATGCTTGTAGGTTCTCCATGTATACTCCTATGGAGAATCCAGTACAGGATGAGGTATGCATCGTTTCCACATCATGTGTTCTATAGACCTATGGAGGGAATTTGTAGTGTTGTGATAGTTGTAGCCTGGCAGAAAGTCCGGTCACAACCAGGCCAGGGAGGAGCGTCACGACCAGGCCAGGGAGGAGCATCAGAACCAGACTAGGGAGGAGCATCAGAACCAGACCAGGGGAGGAGCATCAGAACCAGACCAGGGGAGGAGCATCAGAACCAGACCAGGGGAGGAGCATCAGAACCAGACCAGGGGAGGTGCATCACAACCAGACCAGGGGAGGTGCATCACCACCAGACCAGGGGAGGTGCATCACCACCAGACCAGGGGAGGTGCATCACAACCAGACCAGGGGAGGTGCATCACAACCAGACCAGGGGAAGAGCCTCAGAACCAGACCAGGGGAGGAGCATCAGAACCAGACCAGGGGAGGTGCATCACAACCAGACCAGGGGAGGTGCATCACAACCAGACCAGGGGAGGTGCATCACAACCAGACCAGGGGAGGTGCATCACAACCAGACCAGGGGAGGTGCATCATAAGCAGACCAAGGGAGGTGCATCACAACCAGACCAGGGGAGGAGCATCATAACCAGATCCAGGGGAGAGCGAGATCTTCCTTCCAGGGTCCAGGACATCGAAAACCTGTTCCCAGTCCACTCTAATGCTGAGTTTTTTGGTGGGATTTCTCCTTAAATCTTGATGTTACCATGATTTTTCCTCCAGCAGATCTTCAGCGTGCCGCCAGTTCCTGGGCGTAACCAGTACAGTATTCCGGCAGCTTGAACCACACATTGTCCACACGTGTGCTCCCCTTTTGTATGTACCTTCTGTTCAACCTTTTGCTGCCTACCCCTCCACGTATGTCACTTCCCAACCTGACCTGGAAAATGTTTACTTGAATGATGATATGAAATTGATAATTTAATAAAGTGTTGCGCACAGATGGACGCCGGGCTTCTTCTTTATTACATTCGTGTAACTTGTATGACACATGAACTGTAACATGAAACAAATCAATCGTTCCATGTTCTCCTGTATTTATACACTTTAGCTTTTAGTAGATATAAACCCTAACTGCTGGAGGACTGTGTATCATCATCACCATCAACTACCATCTAGATGAAGAACAAAATGGTTTTCACCTTTTATCAACCTTTGTCATGTATCAGTGCTGCCGATCTCCTGCAGCCTCTTTCTGTCTACATGCATTCCAGTGATGGCTCCGTGGCATTTCTCAGGGTGGGTTTCCTGATGCCAACAACAGTGGACCGTCCCTGTGTAATGTGTGCTGAAACAGCCGCTTGTAAGCCCGATGCCAGGGTGACAACGCAGGAGCACAATTAGGAGACAGGGACAGAGTGTTGTCACCCTATAACATGTAGTGCCTAAAGATGGCTACTCATAGCAGGATCAGTGCTGGGGCAAGGCTATGCAGTGCCCACAACGAAGATGCCAAACTGCGCCTCGGCTTTATTACGCATTAGTCAGTGTTTTTAAGAGAAGATATCTGAATCTATCTAAATGAGACGGGCTCTATCCGAGTTGCTGCACATTGTGAGAAGCTCACGGGGAGGGAGGGAGGGCGGGCGCATTAGCCCCACTGCAAGGGTTCATTTTTAAAATGCTCAGAGTTCTTCTTTAATAACAATTTGCCATTGTGCCAAGAAACTTATAGAAACAGGAGGTGGTGCTCACATAATCATTAATGTTCGAGCATCATGGTTGGTCAACACCTCTGGGGCTACAAACCTACAAATCCCAATACATGGTGTCTATATAGTTCATCTTCTTATTCTAAGCTTCAGTTACATACGGCCAACACCCTTGTGTCAGCGATGCCGGCTCCTTCATTATCACTCTAACCATCCACAGTGGGTGCAGACATCCCGCCCAGATTTTACATATCGCAGTATAAGAAATCTTATTGGGGGGAGCTGGGAATAGGGAGTCTACTGCACTTCAGAATAGTGATGTGCTTGGGCATGTTCGCAGCTCCACGTGCCGAGCCCGCCAGGAAGCTGACAGCACCAATCACAGGTACTGAGACATTATCCCGGTCCACAGCTGCAGAGATCGGGAAATGTCTCAGCACCTGTGATTGGTGCTG